AGTATATGTTAACCGCATGGCTTGGTACCTTTTTCGGCCAGGCAGTCACATCTTGCTTCTCTTGTGGCTGGGGTCACGACTGCATCCTCTTCCCAGAATTCTCCTGTTCTTATTGACCCACCTCTACTTCTGTCTGGTTGTCCACCTATACTTCCTGCCTAGCTACTGACCAATCAGTGTTTATTTAAAATATAATTGACAGAATACAGACCATGGTCCCACACCAGAACCATTTCTTATAGAACATCTCAAAGACTTTAACACAGATAATACATATTGAAATTTACTTCAAACTTCTTGGCCATGGTTTCCATATAACACTAGTCAGTCAATCTCACAAGAAACACTGATGTTAATTTAGAAATACAGTAACTGGGGCTGGAGAGTGGCTCAGTGGTGATGGACACTGGCTGTTTTTTGTGGAGCCTGGATTTGGTTCCCAGCACCTACAGGGTGACTCACAACTGTCTGTAACTCCAGTCTCAGGGGATCTGATATCCTCTTCTGACCTTCGTGGGGAATGCACACACGGTACACAGGCATACATTCAGGTAAAACACCAGCACACATAAACAAGTCTTATATGGACTGCAGACATGACCCAATGTTTAAAAATGCTTACTGCTCCTGTAAAGGACCCGAGTTCAGCTCCCAGCTCTTACTTTGTGTAGTTCCCAACCATCTGTAGCTCTAGCTCCAGGAGAATCCATTGTTTCTGGTCTCTGTGGGCACTTATGCTTTCTGAAATATTTCTTGATACCTGCTGGGTCCCAGCCACTGTTGTTTTGGCCCCATATTAAGGAACTCCAAGCATCAGTATCTGAGTGTCCATGCTTTAGACATCTCTACTTATTCCCCTCTCTGTCAAGCTGTCAGCCTCCGTGGCTCACAATTGTCAGTGTGTCTAAGTTTAGCTTCCTTCTTGATTTTAATAGTCTCTAACACGGCGATCCAGACATCTAGATGGTTAGAACTGTGTACACAGTAAACAAGAAAGCTTATGCCGTATATTTTAGGTTGATAAGGTTATCAGATAAGAGTGAGTCAAACTCAGCCCAAATTTAGATTAAACCAGAACTAAGTTGAGCCTGTTTATTTGATTATTTTTTTAAAATTTTATGTACAAATAATAAAGCTTGGTAAAGACAATATATTTTGTGGAATTAATCCTTTGGCCCCAAGTTTTTTTTCAAGTTATATCTATCTATCTATCTATCTATCTATCTATCTATCTATCTATCTATCTACACACATACAATATATATGATACACACACATATATATATTAAAATACAGACAGCTCTCCATTTTGTTTGGTGGAATTCTATCTATTTTTCCGATGTTCATTTTGTGGGTTTCATGTCAGACAAATTAATCCTGAAGGGAAAAATGAATGTTCGCTTTCTGCCGCCTTCTTTTTGATTCACTTTCGTATCTGAGATTGAAATCATCTCTGTGGGATGACAACCCAGAGAACCCAAACATCTGAGGAAGAATACAAAAGTAACAGGAAAGACCCCAAGGAGTGCTGCAAAGGCACCCGCCCGAGGCAACACACACTTACATAAGCTTCCATAATGCATGAAGTCACTGAAGATCTTTGCAGGGGCTCATAGGAGACCTAGCTACATGGATAATGTTGCATATGCTAACCGCATTTTGAGTTAGACAGAGTGGTGTTTGATGTTAAATAAATAAATAAAAGTGCCCTCATGCAAAAGCATCTCCTTGGGTCTGGAGTCCTCAATGGGTGATGCATGACCTTGAGGCTGAGTTTGGATTTGTGCGGAATAGTCACCAGTCAATGGGAAGAGCTGGTCATGTGATCTCCTATTCCTAGAGAGGTGTTATTGCTTGGTTAATGTTGCAAACGTGCATGCACCACACACATGTATGCACACAGGTTTTTGTTTTGTTTTATGTACTGTGGTTGGGAAGAATTTTGAGAGTGTCTCAAACCACTGAAGAAAGTGCTTTTCTGAAGATGGATGTTTGATTTCCAGGTGAGGACTCAGAGTGAGATAAAACCTGGAGACAGCTGAGTTAGGAGTAGTTTGTGGCTGTGAGAGTAGCAAGACGCCCACAATGCATCAGACTTCTGGTACGGGCCACATGCCTTACACACACTTATTTTCATAATCCTCAGCACGGCCTCATGTTGGCCCCATTTTACAGATCCACAGACTAACTCTTGGGAAAGTAATCCTTTTATCCAAATCCACCCATACGGAAGTGGTAGAAGTGGGGTTAAAGCCCAATGGTCCACTTAGCTCGTCCCTTTCCTGTGCCTGATCTGCCTTATGTTCTGTAACACAAAAAGCAAGGAACTCACGCACTGAACCCCAAGACATCCATTTCCAGTCACTGATTCTTCTCATATGCTCCAGGGGTCACTGGCCTGTGCCTGTTTTTTATGCCATGGAAACTCGGTCTGTCATTAAGCATGTAGTAATAAAGAAGTGTTTCAAGAATGGAAAGGTCCTAATTCTTTACTGCTGACGAGAAAGACTTTTTTACTGAAATACAATATTCAGAGGTAAAAGAAAGAACGGTGCATAAGAACAAAGTGAACATGTCTGCGCTCCAGGTCAAGATGGTGAATATCAAATGCACCCCCAGGAGGCCTGTCTCATTTTTCCTAGTTATCATCTCCTTCCATTTCCCCAGAGCTGGCCACCGTTAGTACTTCTGAAACTACAGAATCATTTTGCTTATATTTTACTTTATAGAATGCAGTTAAACATATGTGTTCTTTGGTGTGTGGCTTTCTTATCTCAGGGCGTATTTTTGTGAGACTGATTAAAGTTATTCATGCGGCCGTTCTTTATTTTTCATTATTGAATTGTTTTTCACCCAGTAGACACACCCTGGTTTACTTGCACACCCTTGCGATGGACATTTTGCTTGGTACACTGCACGTTGGTGGACATCCCAGTGTGTGGTCTCTAGTGTAAGTAATAGCGCTATGGATATCCTCCGCAGTGTGGACCGTTTTAGTCACGATTGTGCTATTCAGTTCAAAGGAGAAATTAACTTTGGAATAAATTGTGGTATTCATGAGGCATTAATATGTTTCCAACTTTGTCTTAGACATCATTAGCTGAAGTAAATGGGTCACCGAAGGAGAAACCTGATGACCACTTAGAAGGGTTTTAAACACCAAACATCTGGGAGTCAGCATAAGCCTGGAGCCGAATGCCTCTGAGGGGAGGATAGATTGGAATGAAGGGAATCACAGAGCTGTCTGAGAGACCTGCTTCTTTACACAGCAAACCATACCTGAATGCCAGCTAGTGCACATATGAAACCAACTCTAGCCAAAGTCAAATCATAAATTGCTGCAATTTCTCCCCATCTGCATCATTGGCGAAAGGAGAGATTCCTGCCAACGGGCTATGGACGTAGAAGAAAAGAGTGTACTTAAGGCCTTTCTCAGCTGAGGGTCACAGGGCAATCAAACACAAGCATCTGTATCTGTGGGAGTAGAACATCATACACTCACAGAGCCTTCTAGGAGATGAGCTTGGGAATATATGAACAGTCATGAGCATGGGGCAGGCCTTGTGTCGTCTTGAAGGCAGGGCCGACTCCTAGTTCCTGCAAGAGAACAAACTTGCCATGCAAGGATAAATAGGAATTGTGGCTGGTTCCTTGGTTGGGGGAATTGCTGAGCTATGGTACCTTGTTTGAGGGGAGGGGAACTTGCAGTCAGGATATGTAAAGCCTCTGAAGCTCATGAGATATCAAGGAAGAGAATATTACTAGTTCTTTGGCCTTGCATGATACAAAGAGCAGGGCTGGGTCAAAATTAAGAGTGGAATCTGAGATGAAAGTCAGTTTGGTTGAAACAGACACAGGTGAGACCTTTGAGACACAGAAGACAGGTTTGTAAGGGTGATTTTAGTTTCGGGAAATTTCTAGGACTTGACATTTTAGTCCTTTGAGTTTTGTCCCTTCCTGCTCTCCATACAAAGAAGCTGAATAAGCGATGTCAGCCTTAAAGAGAACTGATTGTGAGATCTAAGATGGGTGTGCATTATGTGTGTATGTGCGTGTGACAGAGGCTGAGGGAGTGAGAGTATTTCGTGTGTATTTTCACGTTGAGTATCAAGCAGCGCCAGGCTGACCCACTCCCTTATTGCCAGAGTTTTCCATGTTCTAGTCATAATATGCTTTACCCCCTTGGCTTTTGCGGTAGGTCTGTTCTGTGTGTCCACTGGGGACAGAAATGAAGTAGCGTTCAACTCTGTATCTTCCCGGGTCCAGAGGACCCGTGTCTAGTTCTAAAAACGAGTCACTTCAGCATGCAGGTGAGAGGGTAGCACGAGAGGATGCGCAGCACAATACGATGATGGTGATTGCCTAGCTGGTGCCTGTTAGAAGCATGGATCTTCTCAGCCCCCCGACTCAGAAAGTCCCCAGGGGGTTCATTTCACTGAGAAGCATTGATGTGTGTGATGGCCCTTTCAGCATATACAAAAATCCTGTTAAGGTTTGAATATGAAATGTCTCACTCGGGTTCATGGTTTAAATGCTTGATCTATATATAGTAGATGAGCCTATGGGGAGAGGGTGGTGGACTGTAGAAATTCAGGGAGATGGGGCCTTGCTGGAGGAAGAGGACACTGGGGGCAGGTGTTTATGGATGTATTGTTCTTAGTGACTTCCTACCATGATTTCTGTCTCCTGGTCCGTCATGAAAGGAACAGCTCTTCTCTTCCACACCCTCCTACCTCTGTGATGGCCTGCCCTGATGCGTGGACAAGATAACCATGGATGGAACCTTCTAAAACCATGAATTAAAACAGATTGTTTCTCTCTAAGTAATTTCTGTATGATATTTTGGTAACAGTGACAAAAAGCTAATAATTTCTGTCCCCAGGACTAGCCTTCACCATGTTTCAGACACTGAGTGAGTTGGCACGTCTCCTTCACCCCGTGTAACCCACTCCAACAGAACTGAAAGCTAGCTGATCAGTACCCCACGATTTCATCAGAGAATGCTTTTATTATTTCGTTTAAGTAAGAAAGAAGGGGGGGAAGGCCTGGGAAAGGAAAACAGGAAGGGGGGGCATGAAGAAACACTCTTAGTCCTTGCAAAATGGAATTCGATCCTGCCCTCCGATGTCCCCACGCATGGGATTTGGTCCTCATAAAAAGATGAAATGTCACCAGACTTGCCTCTCATTTCCATTGGCTTTCTTCTTCGTGCCTCGCATTTATTGTTCTGTTTTGACATGCAGAGTGCTTGGCTCCGGTCTGCTTGGTGTCTAACCAGAAACTGGCTGTGAGAATAGATTCAGATGAGGGGAGAAGGTAAGCAAACAAAAGCTTGGAGGCTTTCCCTTTGGGGTAGAGAGGACCTACTCAGCCGGTTTGTCACAGGCTGCTTCTTCTCTTGCCCAAAACTTGATCTTCCAAAGCAAAAGAATAATCCTATACCACCTAACAGTGTTTTAGTTACAGATCACACACATAACAGTGGTCACATAATGTTTTATTTTCTAGCGATTTTGTAGCTGTGTTGGGTACGTACGTACACACTATGGTGTTCATACAGTGACAAAATCTCTTAATAAAGCTTATCTCAGCACGTAGCCTTACCGTTAAGTAGCACATGGCTCATTTTGCTCATGGCAAGGCAATTCCTCGTAACACACCAGACATAGCATGATGATCCCACAGTCTCTAAAAACCATCCAGCAATGTGGATATTATCATGATCCTTTTATTTGATATAGGAATTGAGGCTCTGAGGAATTAAGCGATTTGGGAGTCCTATCGCTAATAAGTGCTGAAGTCAGTATTTGAATTTAGCTCAAAGATGAGCTAATTTGGGATGCCCACATTTTCCTAATGTTCAATTAGAGTCATTCATATCCTGACAGAAGTCAGGGTTGCTCAAATCCTAGCTGGGGTCCACAAGCAGACTTGAGTTTGCCTTTTTATTCTATTCATTTTCTTTTACTTTCCATGGAAACTATGTTTTGGGGCAACCCCCCCCCCCCAGTATATCACAGTCCTCACCATCAGGAAGACTTTTCCTGGTGTGAAAATAGTAAGTTTTTACAACGCTTATGTATGCCTGTCTTTCAAGTGACATTGCACCTACGTGGTTTTCATACAGGTTTTTGAATAAATAAAATAAATGTACATTAAAAATCCTCTCTGACTTGGGACATCCTCTGGCCTTGCTTTGGAAGGTTATGGAGAATCTAAGGCCCCAGGGATACTGCCTTCCTGGAGAAGGGGGTTTTAGCTCCTAAGTGACTACAAAGAAATTTACATAGTCAATCACTTATCATTCAGGAGTTGGCAAACTACAGCACTCGGGCTAATTCCAGCCCTCTGCCTGCTTTTATATATATATATATATATATATATATATATATATATATATATATATAAAGTTTTATTGGAATACAGCCATGCCCACTTGTTCTGAACTCGGTGTGGGGCACTGCATTGGCAGAGCTGAATAGTTACAACAGGTAGGTAGCTCATAGTCTGCAAAGCCCTATGTATTTACCTCAAGCCTTTAACAGAAAAAAAATCTTGCTAATTCCTTATTAAATGATCTGTTTAACAAACCTCTTTAAATGTGTGCTATGAGCCACGCATCATATTGAATAATGATGGTAACACAAGGGCAGATCAGAGAGATTTCTTGCCTCTGAAGCTCACAGGCACGAGCAACATCTGGAATTAACTACAGCAAGAAATCCTTCTCTGTGAGGTTGGAGGAGGTTTGACAGGCAGGAGAAATAGGGTCATGGAGGACTCTAACAGCCCCCCAAAGATTTTGCATATAATATTGGTAATGAGAAGTCATCAACTGTTTCTAGTCGGATGGCTGTCTGATCTTTTTCTTGGACATATAAAGCTCACTGACAACATAAAAGAACCCTCTTACATGATGTGAATATTTTACATGTAACCGGCTGCATGGGACAGTGTCATTTGGCGTCTCCCTCAGCCCTGCTGCATCCTTAGGACTATTTGAACTATGGAGCAATCACTCAGTCTGATATAATGAAGTTTGCTTAGTAAGAATGTCTACAGAGTATTTCTGTGACAAATAAGCGTTTGAACAACATAGAACCTGGGAATTGTTAGGTCAATCATCTTAGCCGAAATCATCGCCCTCGTTTGCATTTGGTGGGTTTTATAACTGAGGAATTGCTCTTGCTCCTTTTCTACTTACACCTATGCATTCTCCTGTTTATATTACGAAGGTGATCTATTGATTCATTGGACTGTGTTTGGGAGTTTACCAGAAAATGCGTCTCAGAACCCCCTGCCTTTTCTGCCCATATAGGCAATCCCCTGCCTTCTCTGCCAACATAGATAATCCCCTGCCAAGGTCTCCATTCTTAACTCTGCCTTCTGTGATGTGTGGGGCCATCAGTAGCTGCAGTCTGACTGCGTACCATCCACCCAGAACGCTGCTGTCGTTAGACCCGCCTGGTGTCATTAAAAGAGAAGAACCACACTGGTTTTGCTGATAGTACATTTGGGTATGAGGGATATATATCTACGTTGACAGAGAACCAACTGCTAACCCCACGGTTCCTCTTTAGCTTAGCTCAGAGTCCAAGTTTACTGTCGTCACTCTTAGGCATGTAACCTCCGGCCCAGTCCATGCAAGATCAGATATGAAGAGGCCAATTAGGAGTTTACTGCAATAGTCTGGACAAGAAATGCTGGAGAACAAAACTAGGGTAGAGGCAGCCCTGCCAAGGGAGCCAGGGCTTGAGAAATAAAGAAGGTATCCAGGTGGCAGATCTTCATGAGGCTGGACTTGAAAGGTAAGGAACAACGTTGTTCTTTGCTTGGATGCCAAGAAGGATGGTATCACTCCACGAAGCAGAAAATAGAGAAAGAAAAGCAGGGCTCAGAGGGAGACAAGGTGTCGGAGTGTGAACATGCTCTTGAAGGTGTCTGCAGAGATCTCAAATGTGACTGGGTACATGAATAAAAATCCGGACAGAAGTCATGGCTCAAGATGCAGCTCACATCTCTGGGATAGGACACGCTGTAGAGATGAATGAAGCATCCTTTGGGAGTGAGGCAAAGTGAGAATACCCAGAGACACAGGGAAGAGCCCCAGTGAACCAACACAGTCATGGAGAACGTGGGCTTGAAGTACTTGTAAACAGCCGAGCTGTGGTCAGAAAATGAGGTGACTTGGGATAATTTGCATAAAGGGTGGCTATGGCATAATCATATTCCTTTTAATTCCTGGGAGTGTTTAGTATGAAGTTGGAAAGTGAGTCTGTAAATGAAGACTCTATAGACGTAGGTTATAATACAAGGGGCATTACAATCTGGTTTTATGTGTTTTACATGTACATATGCTCATATATTTATATGATTATAATCTATCTATTGATCTATTTATAGGTATAATATTATTTGAAGACAAGATGATGGAGTCTGGCTAACATAGGACAAATTTGGAGGAAATTCTGGCCTTGAGAGTAGGCACTCCAATGAATGAGGTCTACTTGGCTGTTCTTCTGCATTAAATGAAATACGAAGTGCCTGGGACTTCAGCAGAAAGTCTTCCCGGCTTGCAGCATCAAAACATGTTGGTTGGGACAGTAAGGATGGCTGTAAACTGAAGATAGAAATTCTAAAAAGAGATGGATGCAAATGAGGGAGCCCAGACATGCTGGCAAATGCTCTTTCAACATGCAGCTCACCTGAAGGTATGAGACTTATGCCAGCTTTCCAATCATAATTCAGAAGTTGGAAATCTAGAGTAGTGGAGTCCAATTCTGGTTACAGGGAGTAGCAGGCTTTAGAGTTTACAGCCCACCAATAGGAAGGACTTAGTTAAAGCCCCCAAATTTTCCTAAATTATTTTGAGATAATATTTGAGATAATTTATTTGTTTGAGATAATTCATAGAAAGTTGTAAAGGCAGGCCCCATGGAGCCTTTACTTAGTTTCTCCTTGTGGTTTTTACGTGATGATAATATAAAACCCAAAGCCTGGGGAGAGGCCAGTATACAGTTCTACGCCATTCTTCCACACATGCAGTTTCGTGTAACTACTCATCATACAAGCTATCCATCACCACAAAGTTCTCCCTCCTTCATATCACCCCTTAGAGTCATGCCAATGCCCCCAACTATCTGTAACCTCTGGTTACAGATGAAATATTCCCAGCATCTCCAATTCTGCCAACTGTGAGAACACTAACCATGTGCAGTTAGACTTCTGTGAGCCTTTAAGACCATTTTTTCCATTCATATTAATGTTCTTGAGATCCACTCTAGTAGTATCTACCAGTGGTCCCTCTGTGTGGCTGAGCAGCATCCTATGATGCTATTGAAAAGCAATTTAGTTTGCATTCTGCTGATGAAGAATATCTTGTGTGTGGTTATCACACACACAACTTCTGCGACCACTGCTGTATAGACTTTGCATGCACACAGATTTTATTTCTCTAGAACAAATGGCCAGGGATGCAGATGTTATGTGAGACTGTATAAGGTCTGTATTAGTAAAGTCTATGTTCCAAAGTTAAGTGTAAACTCCAAGTCAGTGAAAAATGGGCATCCCTCATAAAGCTCAAAACCAAAGCTTTGTGTGTTCATGGGGAGTTTTCTTAGGGTTAGGATGAAGGGATAAGGGTTGGCAGGGGTTAGGATTAGGGTTGGGTTAGGTAGGGTTAGAGGATTAGGGTTGGGGACTAGTGGATTACGGTTGGGTCAGAGTTAGAGAGTTAGGGTTAGAGTTAAGGTTAGGATTAGGTGTTAGGGTTAGGGTTTGGGTTCTCTTAGGACTTTTCTTTATTAATTTTCTTCATTTTTTTGTTTGTCTGTATTCAAGACCACTAATACTACCACTAATTCTAATTTGTTTTAAACCTAGTAAAATTTTTATTTCATACATTGTATATAATGTTTCTAGAACATTTTTCTTATATTTTCACTAAGATGTTAAATATGAATCAGAAGCTCCCCTTTTGTAGTCAGTCTTGAACAAGCCATTGACCTCCTCAGCCTCTCTGTTCTTACACTAAGGCAAACCCACATTCCACAAAAAGATGTACTGCCTTGCTTAACTCCGCCTGAATAATTAATATACAGCCATTTACAAAGTAGGTAAATGAGCTGAAAACTCATTCTTCAGTTCTTGACCAATCAGTAATGGAGTCTGTTGGGTCCAATAATGGCTGATTAATGGGGAAGTGAGAGAAGACGGGAATACAGTATCATCTGAAATATTTTTTAAAAAGGTCAGATTAACAACATTATTAAAAGAATTGTTTGTG